CTCACCAACTTTGTAATATTAAGTCATTGTAATTAAGTTTCAATGATTAACAACTTACCAACTTTGATCTTCTTCTCAAAGAAGGTGAACTTAATTTTACTATTTAAGATTAGGCATTTAAACCACATTTGCAATAATTATTAAGAGTATAATACTATAATGTATATTAAAATTCAGGCCATGGAGCAAAAGTTGCATGGAAGAACTCCCGGAGCACGTAAAGTGGTCATATTATGCTATGGTTGAAGCTTGTGAAGAAGCTGAGGAAGATCTTGCCAAAGAAGGAAGATCATCTTTTGTCAATTATACAAGAGATCAGGTCCACCATGCATTCTTCAAATATCAAATTATCTTCTAATTTTATTTTTATCTCACCTTATTTCGGTACCAAAATAAATTCATAGCAGACCTAATCTCTTATTTGCAGTTTTTTATCACTATATATTTTTAATTTCGTGGTGAAAAACATTATGAAAATTACATATTTGAAAATTACACATTAAGTAATACAAAATTAATAAGACATTATTTGATACGGGTTTTTTTCCTTATAAAATAATGCACACATATTAGGTCAAGGTTTAGTCAAATCAGATATTAATTTCCATCTTTTTTTTTTATTAATTATTTGAATAATTCAAAAAGACGATACATATTACAAATGACGGAAGAGTGATTTTAGCCTATGATGATCTGCGAGTAAGCCAAGATCTTATTATTGGATTTTTTCTTTTCTCTAATTCAGGTGAAAACTTTATCCAAAGCCTATATTCAAGAGGTAAGATGGTGCCATGAAAAATATGTTCCTACATATGATGAGTATATGAAGAAGATTGCCCTGGTGACCTCTCCATACCCTCATGGAATAGTTGCCTCATTCCTTGGCATGGGAGAGATTGCATCGAAGGAAGTATTTGAATGGGCATGTCAAAATCCTATGCCTGATATCATAAAAGCTGCATCTACAATCATAAGACTCATGAATGACATAGGTGGCCACAAGGTACATACCATCTATAACAATTACTACCTCAGCTTCTTTTTATTTGCAATAACTGAATTTTTATGCCTCACATAAAATACCCCAGTGTTGCAAATAAAAAGAAAATGAGGTAGAACTTAATTATTAAAACATACTCAGTATTAGTACAATTTTATACATACTATGAGGTAAACCCTAGTGATTTGCAACCATAACAATTGTGTTCGTTTTGAATTGGGGCTTTGGAGCAGTTTGAGCAACAGAGGAAGCATCTCGCGTCAGCTGTGCAATGCTTGATGGAGAAGCATGGGTTGTCAGAGGAGGAAGCAAATGAGAAGCTAAAAGAAGAAGTTGAGGATGCTTGGAAAGTTATTAATCAGGCGATGCTCCAACCTTATGTGATTCCAAAGCCCATACTTACCCGGATTCTCAACTTAGCTCGTTCTGCTAATGTAATGTACATGGGTTATGATGATGGTTACACACATGTTAACCAAACTCTTAAGGACAAAGTTGCATCTGTTCTTGCTCATCCAATTCCCATGTAATCTTTCTTTTTTGCGGACGATGTCCTCTAAATTCTCTAGTAAGCATGTATGTGGTGTGTGTCCTTTTTCCGTTTTTACAATGTACTTTTGAGTTTTCAAGTGTTGTTGTATTGAGGCATAGGAAAAATGCCTTAGAAATAATGTTATATATGTGAGATTGTGCCTAAGTTTGTTTTATTCCTTCATAAATAAAACGTTGTTCTTATAAAAAAAAAAAAAAAAAAAAAAAATTCTTACACCTTAGCTTTGCTTTCGTTCTTTGATATATACTAGCTCTATTTTTATTTAGTTGACACCTTTCTTTTATCAAGCTTGCCAACACACTATTTTACCGATTAATATCTCCAATTCTCGATATTATAAAATTATAAAAAGTGGATGTTAATAAACTATACATTGAGATGATTCAAACAAGATCCACTTGACTAGGTTTTATCGTAGCGATAAATCACAAAACCTAGTAAAAGTGTAGTTTGTGAATAGTGTAAAAATCAAATGGTGTCAACTAAAAAAAAATGGAGGAAGTATGTATTGATGGGCTTTATTGAAGCATATATAATAAAATTATTATATAAAGATATTATGTTAAAGAACCATCTCAACCAAAAATTTAAACTGATGGTTGAAGCCTAAGATTAGTTTATACACTCTATCATGCCCCCTCTTGAAATTTGGATGTAACATGAGCCACCTTATACCCAGCGCAAAAAAAAATTTAACTTTAAAAGAGGGGTGGATGAGATTTGATCTCGTGAACTTCGTGCCACATAGGCTCTAATACTATGTTAAAAGACCATCTTAATCAAAAGCTCAAGCTAATTGTTGAAGCCTGCAATTAATCTATATATTTTGTCATATTAATTGTAATTACTAAAAAAAGCGGCAGATCATGCAAGATTCCATCACAAACCATATTGTTATAGATTGAAAAGTATTTCTAATTTATACATTCCTATCACCACCCTCAAATGTTTTAATATAAAAAGGGCATCATACACGTGCAACACATGCTTAGGGGGCGTTTGGTTAGAACAATGGAAACGAAGTAGAAAGGAAACAAATAAGAGGGAGGAAAGGAATCATGTAACTATTATCTTTTCATTTGTTTGGTTTAACTATATGGAAAGAAATCAATTAGTGTTTGAGGAGGGTAAGGTAATTGTTACCTTAGGTTTTAGAGTACTAACAAATGGGTGGAATTCCTTACCCTTAGGTAAAGGTAATTGTTACCAAATCTCTTAACCAAACATTTGATAAAATTAATGACTTAACCGAATCCATTTCCAACCTAATAATTACACTGACAAAACATGCTCTTAGTTGTTATGTGCAAGTGGTAATATCGTAATAGCTTGCTCTAACAGCCAAAACTTATTAGGACGATTTTTTAGGACACTTACCAAGAAATGAATGTCAACCATAATGGATAAAGTGTTCCGATTTAATAATAATAATAATAATAATAATAATAATAATAATAATAATAATAATAAGAAGAAGAAGAAGAAGAAGAAGAAGAAGAAGAAGAAGAAGAAGAAGAAGAAGAAGAAGAAGAAGAAGAAGAAAGGAGCTTTTAAAAGTTAAAAAAAAAAAAAAAAAAAAAAAAAAGAAAGAAAGAAAGACTCAACATGACTATGCTATGTTTTATATATTATTTCTTCAAAAAAAAATGTTTTATATATTATGAATAGTTTAGAAGATTTCCTTATATATTTATGAATATTGTCAAGATTCCAAATAAGAAGATTATTATAAAATGGAAGGACCGAAGGAGTACTATATATTACACTATCACTAATAAGTACAATCCCTTACCTTGTAAACGGAGGTCATCATGTTAACCGAAACCATGTATATCTTGGTGTTCATCTCATCTATTTTCTACTTTATTTATCAAGTATATGTTCTATAAGGCATATCAAACACATGCCTAAATCGATCAATTCTCATTAATTTCCTAGCTAACACGTATTTTAATCATAAGAAGGAGAAGAAGAAGAAGAAGAAGAAGAAGAAGAAAGGAGCTTTTAAAAGTTAAAAAAAAAAAAAAAAAAAAAAAAAAAAAAAAGACTCAACATGACTATGCTATGTTTTATATATTATTTCTTAAAAAAAAAAAGTTTTATATATTATGAGTAGTTTAGAAGATTCCCTTATATATCTTATGAATATTGTCAAGATTCCAAATAAGAAGATTATTATGAAATGGAAGGACCGAAGGAGTACTATATATTACACTATCACTAATTAGTACAATCCCTTACCCTGTGAACTGAGGTCATCATGTTAACCGAAACCATGTATATCTTTGTATTCATCTCATCTATTTTCTACTTTATTTATCAAGTATATGTTCTATAAGACATATCAAACACATTGCCTAAATCGATCAATTCTCATTAATTTCCTAGCTAACATGTATTTATAATCGTGTGAGTGCGTGTTTGGCTCATGGATACCATGTGTAACTTTGATCATGAGCTTCAACTGTTAATAACTCCATAGTTATATCGTTTTTTAATGTATGTTTTAACGATTAATATCTCTAATTATCAACATTATCAAATTACAAATGTGAATATTAATAAAATTTACATTGAGACGATTCAAACAAAATACCTTATGACTATTTTTTGTCGTAGCTAGCTATAAACCACAAAAGCTAGTTAAAGTAAAGTTTGTGAATAGTGCAAAAGTCAAATCATGTCAACTAAAATAAAAAAAAAAAATAGGATGGAATTACAAAACAAGGTCAAAATGGGATGTGTGAATAGAGAGGAACTAGGTAAAAAAAAAATAAAAAAAAAATGTCATTTGCATCAATTTAGATATCAATAGCTTAGTGGCTGCTTTGGTAAACAAAGGGAATAGAAATTTCCACGAACTTCTGACTTAGGCCCCACTCACTTCACCCAATATTTTTACTGAATTGAAATTATTTTTGTTGAACTGAAATTATTTTTATTGAACTAAAATTAATTTTACAGAACTGAAATTATTTTTGCTAAACTGAAATTATTTTAATGATTTTCTATTATATTTTTTATTTAAAGTTACTGAATTTTACTGAACTGAACTTATTTTTGCTGAACTGAAATTATTTTTACTTAATATTATTTTTATAAGGTGGAATGAACAGGTCCTTACTAGAACTTTATTAGTCATGTTAGTGTTTTATTAGTCTTGTCGTACGAGTTTTAGATTTTATCATATAAGAATTATTCACGTATGTTATATCCAAAAAAATAAAATAAAGGGACAAAAGTTCAATTTAGAGTAAAAGAAAAGTCCATTGATATTCAGAGTCAACAAAAACGAAATGTAAATGACAACACAATAAACACTGAGCTCAAATTCAAATAAAACGAAAAGAGCTGATTGATGAAAAAAAAATGACAACTCTCTTCATGTTGTGGGCTTCGAGCACACGTAAGTTGCGAAACACATTCCGACCATAAGCTTCAATAACATTAAGCACGTCCAAATGGCCCGTAAGTGTCAACCTTCTTGTACTGAAAAATATTGTTTATTAATGATCTTAGAAAGTGATACTAGTTAGTTGAATAAGAAATCATACGTATAATTTAACAATAATTATAGCTAATATGATGTTTGATGGTAACTAATTACCTTCTCAGAAATTCCAATTGAGTTAAGGTAAATTCCACAGGATCCATTAAAACCAACAATAGTGCCGTCTAATGGCACTGGAGTTGAGAAAGGCTTAGCTTCTGTGACCTGCTCTCCGCGTCCATATGGTCCATATGTTTTTAAATTTGTATGGTTCGTTATCGTAGAAATTCTGATATTCTCGTTTAAGTACTTTCCATACTTCCCGCTTATTTGTGTTATATATTCTTTTTCATTCAAATCAATGTGTATGTATGTTAATCGGTTAGCAAATATAAATATAGTTCGAGTACATTATTGTATGTATACATACCTTTCAGTATGTTTTAAAAACAATGGAGATATAATATACTTATATATAAATCACTAAATATGGTCAAAACGTAGTACACACAAATAACATAAAAAGTTATATGTGTAACAATTAAAAAAAAAAAGTACCTCACTAGTGTCCCCACCAGGTCCACCAAAAATTTGGGTGCGGGTCTTTCCGTTAGGACTTGATACTTCAAAGCCAACTCCATCGACAATGAATCCATGTTTGATAAATACTTTGGGAAATCGCTCACCATCATTAAGCTCAATGTGCCATTTTGTTGAACTTTCTTTGTTACCAAATGGTCCATATTCTTTGATCATTTTGCGCTGGAATTTAAAAATTAAAATAAATATATATTATATACCAACACAAATATTAGATTTACTCCATCGATTAAATGAAGATTTGTAGCACTAATACAAATACTTGATGTGGTATTGTTAGGAAGATCAAGGAGGGAGATGATATCAACATATAAAATTCATTTAAATAGCAAGTTATAAATCAACAATGATCATAAATGAAAGTTGTATATTTCTTACATACCGCGTTATAAATTCCAATAGAATTTAAATATTCTCCATTGGATCCGAGAAACCCAACAATAGACCCATCCAATGGAAGCGGAGTTGAGAAAGGCGTTACGTTGTTGGCCGCCCTGACCTCACCATATGGTCCATAACCCTCTGGGCATAAAGTGGTATGTATCCTAATTGTGGTGATGCATACCTCCTCATAGTACATCCCGCTTGTCCCACTAATATGGGTGAGTTTTTCTCCAACACTTAGCGGAATCTGCATTTACATATATTTACTTCAATTATATCATAGTAAAATCAAATAAAATGATAGACCGTTTTATAAAATATTGTACTTATCAAACAGATCGGATATGAAATAAGTGTTACAACAAAAGCATTAAATCACTCTCTCTTAGTACCAAACTCGACTCTACTTTTAGAACTTGTCAAAAAAAAAAAAAACTCGACTCTACTTGTTATTACATGTTATGATACCTCAGATTGTGATCCACCGGGGCCTGTAAACCACTCTATAGTTTTTCCACCTAAACCCATGATTTCAAAGCCAATTCCATCGACAATGTATCCATGATTAATCATAATTTTCGTGATGATTAATCAGGACTTGATCATCTTTAAGCTGGAAGGACCACTGCAGTCCTCGCACAATAATAAACACGAAGGTTAAATCAAAGAAATAATCAAAATTAGAGGAAGAATTTTAAGAGACATAAGGGGAGTACATATGTACGTAATACAACTTAAATTCAAAGTTAGTATCTAAAAATTCGTACGTTGTTTATCGGTGCTGCCATTTGTGGTTGGGAACTTGGTATTACTACCGTGTGCTTAGCAAGAAATTAACGGGAAGATTTTTGTTTAAGTGTCTTTTTTTTTATTAATTTTTTTTTTAACAAGATTTTTGTTTAAGTATGAAATAGAGAAAGATGCTTAAATTGGAATGAGTATGAGTAAGATGTTCGATACATATATATAGTTGAGGATATGATGTGAAAACTTAATATTTTACCTATAAATTTAATCGATCTATACGATATATAATCAACATTGAATTCTTCATTCAATAAGTCTATGAAAAATACATTGAAAAATACAGTTTAGTAAACTAATAAACATAATTTTTTATTCAGAAATGCATTAATATATATTATATACAATGGCTAGCATCCATAATGGCTAGCAATATATACATGTAGCTTTGGGTTACCACATCATTATTCCCCAAGCTACATGATTTAAGCTACAACCTCTACAATGGCAAGCTACTTCCTTTTGTAATAAATAAACCATTAAAAAAAATAAAAAAACATAAAAAAAAATATTAAACAAATTAATATAGAGCGAGCTATGTAGTTTGGCCTTAACTACATATGTACCTCCACAATGGTTAGCATACACCTCTAACTAGGTTAAATCTCGTGCCATACATGGTAATTTTAGATAATTATTCTTAAGTTAAAACTACATTTAATTAAAAAAAAAACATAAATTTGTCTAAAATACTATAGTGAATTTATTATGAAAGAGTCTGTTAGCCAAATAGGTATTTTAATATACGCATTTGATCAGACAATATCTATATATTTTTTTATATTTCACCAAAATTGGTATTATTTTTTTTAATTTTCTTGTTAACCAAATGAATTTCTTAAAACTATGTACTACGTATTTAACCCATAAATAGATTTCTATTTTAACTTTTTTTAGAAAGTAAATTAGTGTTGTAATAAACGTAGTACATTATACTCAGTATGTCACATGTTAAGAATCCGTTTTTCTTAACTTTATGCCCCGTAGTTGTTAATATTTTTTGAGGAAGGATATATCAAATTTTTTATTTAAGTAATTTTTAATATTCTAATTACTTTCTTGGAGCTTCTAATATATTGTATTAATTTATAAAAATATTCAAAAAATAAATAAATGTAATTATTGAAGTACATGACTTGGCAAAAATTATGTTGAAATTTGAATTATTTTTTTTTTCTTTTACTTAAGTTGAAATAGTTGTCAAGGTCCTCAAGGATACATCAAATTTTTATTTATGTATAAGTTTGTTATACTTTATTTTTGTTTAAGATTTGTTTTCTATATAAATTTTTAAAATTAAAAAAATAAACTTATGGGACACACCAGAAAATGACACGTGTCATTGCTGGTGTGTCTTTTAGTATATAATAATAATAATAATAATAATAATAATAATAATTATTATTATTATTATTATTATTATTATTGATTGATGATTTAGAATTAGCAAGCGGATCCTTTTATGTCCGGGTTGACAAATAAGTTGAATATGCCCCCCTGAATATAATCATCTTAACCATTATTGATATAATTAATGTAATTAAGGCATTATATTTACTAATACAATGATCAATTTCAATCACTAACTAGTGTATGGCCCGGGATGCTAGTTTATACTTGTTTAGTTTAATAATCATGTTCGACTGTTTTGGTAATCATCTTGAAATTTCATGACTTGAAAAAAATTTGTAAACACTAAGGGGTCGTTTGGTTTGCACGGGGTAAACGGAATGATGAACAAAGGGAATGAAATGGAATGGATTGAAAATCCCTTAAATGTAGTATGTTGTTTGGTTGTAAAAAAACAATGGGAATCACTAGATTCACCACCACCACACCCACACACCCTCACCGCATTTTCGAAGGTTGTGGTGGCTGGACAGAACCCTAACCCCCATCCCTACCCCTCGCTGCCCATCCCTAACCCCTCGCCGCTCAGACCTAACCCCTCCAACTACACGGTGATCGACTTAGAAGGGTTTCTAGGGTTGGGGTGGCATTTTCAAGGAGAGGGGGTGGCGTTTTCAAGGGCTATGCGTGGGTGTGGGGAAGGTTTTTCGGGGAGGGAAGGTAGTTTCAGGGGGCGGCGAAGGGTTAGGGAGGGGCAGTGACTGGTGCGACGTGGGGATCAGATGGCCGGGATTAGGGAATTTTTTCGAGGGAGTTGAGGGGATGGCCGGCGAGGGGTGGGGGAGGTGCGGCGAAGGGTAGGCGGTGGTGTGGTGGTGCAGTTTTCTGATGATGTTGGTAGGTAGGAGGGTGGTGGTATGGTGGTGTGGTGGTGGCCAAGGAATGGAATGGAAATACCTTGGGGGAGTGGGGAATGAACTTGGAGGGATTTGGGGGAATGAAGAGGGAAAGGGGAAATGGAAAAGTGGTCTAACAAACAACAACAAAGGGAATAATTCCCGTCGATTCCCATTCCCTTTGTTAAATACCCCCAACCAAACGGCCCCTAATTATCTTATCAAAGTTAACTATATTTTTGTTTGATAGAAAAGCACAATAAATGAATAGCTAAGACTTGTAACTTAATATTTGTTGTCAAATCTAATGCATGTTGTGAAAGTGACATATTATCTTATTGTTTAAAAAGTGTAACACGTGGCACATATTGTTGACATGTCATATTTATGGTGCTTAAAAAAATGACACGTGGCACATATTCTGTTTTAAGAACGCTTTATTAATATATAATAAAATAAAGTATATATATAGATTTATTGTACATGAACCATCACAATTATTTTATTAACCAACTTGTCTTGGTCAACTCAACTATTGTGCTTTAATTTCTTAATGATTTCATATGAGATGAAATTGATCAAGTTCACTGGAATGAGTTCAAGCCATTGATTTATGATAGCGAGAGTTTAGACCATTTACATTCTCAATAAGGTTAATATTAACGACTGAGGATCAGACATCAGAGGAGCAATTAAGTTTTTTTTTTTCCCCCACTTTAGAGTAAGATTAATTGTAATTACAGCACTATTAGTTGAGACAAACTATTTCAAGAGAGGGTGAATTGTAGAAAGTTTCTATAATGATAATTTTTGCCGGAATAAAACGGAAACTTAAAGGAACTTAAAACACACCGCTAGATTTACGAGTATATTATATTATAAACAAAAACTTTTGCATGTCTCCGGTTTACAATAATTTTATTGTACATCGACATTTTGCGCATGTGAACAGTAATATTTTCATTAAAGTGACCCTTTTTTTTACAAAAAATGACCCTTTTTTGTTATAAAAGTGACCCTTTTTTAACAAAAGTAACTCATATTTTTAGAAAAGTGACCTTTTTTTTACAAAAGTGACCCTTTTATTCACAAAAATAACCCCTTTTTTTCACAAACGTAACCCCTTTTTTTTACAAAAGTGACTCATATTTTCACAAAAGTAACTTTTTTTTTCACAAAAGTGACCCTTTTTTGTTATAAAAGTGACCCTTTTTAACAAAAGTAAGTAAGTAACTCATATTTTTAGAAAAGTGACTTTTTTTTTTTACAAAAGTGACCCTTTTTTTTTCACAAAAGTGACTCCTTTTTTTCACAAACGTAACCCCTTTTTTTCACAAAAGTGACTCATATTTTCACAAAAGTAACTTTTTTTTTCACAAAAGTGACCAATATCTTCACATAAAATTTCCATAAATCTCATTAGTTTTTTGTTTTTTTTTCAAAAATAACCTAAATTCTCACAAAAGTGACCCAACCTACACTGAGATCAACATCATCTAACTATAACTCTAAATTTTTACTCTTCTTCTTCACCATTGCAGAAATTAGTAGTAAATAAGCACTACAAAAGAGTAGAAGAACAAAATTAAAAAAACCTAAAAATCGAATCAAATCCACTAAAAACTAATAAAAATGCACAAAAAATTAAGTAACAAACCTGAAATTAGCGAGAAACAAGTTCGCAAGTGAAAAAGAAGGTAGAAAATCAGATCAAAGCACTAAAAATTGAAGCAAAACAGATCAAATCACCAAATATTGAAGAAAATCAAGTCAAAATGGAAGAGTGAGAAAATTGAGGAAGAGAGAGAAAGTAAATTATGAGGAAGAGAGAGAAAAAAGAAGAAGAGAGAAGAAATGAAATGTGTGACGTATGAATGAAATTGGTAACAAGTTCTTTTCTATTTGTTGCCGCCATCCGCCGTTCACAATTTAATGTAAACCGGATTTTTTAAAACATTTGTGTATTATAAAATTTCCATCTTATTGAAAGAGAGAACAAACCATCAGTTGATAATGATCTTTATGCTTATGCGTATTACTAACTTGATAAAATCCTATTATTAAAAAACACACATTAATTGATAAAGTATATATTATGTCAATAACAATTAAAAACTTAGTGTATCATTATAGACATCTTTATCATTATAAGCATTTATACTGGTATATAGTACACCCTCCCCTTCACAATGATCATCCCACTTTGATTTTACACGTTTGTTGACGGATTACTTTGACCATCCATGAATATCTTTAATTTCATATTAGTAAAATATATATTACAATTGAATATTAATAAACTAATTAATTATTGAGATGAATCAAACAAGACTAAACACGATTATGCTTTCAAAATATATTTATGAAAACGATATCTGATACATTCAACAAATGTATCACAACATATTGCCTCGCACCCCCCCCGGACATACAAGGGAAAGAAAACATGAATTAGATCATCAAGAAAAAGTAATATTCCTTTTTTTTTTTTTATTTGTTACGTTTTGACTTTTATGATTCACTTTTAAGAAAATTTATCATAAAAAATAACTATTAAATTAAAACATATGGACCTTCATACTGACCACTTAAAGTTCATTTTAAAAAGAGATGTGGATGAGATTCGAACTCGTGATTTTTGTGTAATGGTGGCTTTAATACCATGTTAAAGAACCAATTAAACCAAAAGCTTAAACAACAGTTTATATACTCTATCAGTCACAACCTCTAGAGCTTAGCCTCGCATGCCCCGAGGACATGCACGAAAATAAATACGATGATAAGAAATTTAATGGACGATATTCAGAGGGAGTTTAAAAGGAGTATTGTTATGCATAAATAATTGCATAACGAGGGTTAAGGGCGTAATTACACGTAATTTATATTCTGACTTTAGATTAGTACCATTGAGGGATCAATAGTACCATTGGGTAATCAAATAGTAGCATTGAATATTCAGTGATACTATGTATGTATGTAATGGTACTATATATCCATTCAATGGTACTAAGTACTAACTACGCGCATATATAGTATCATTAAATAACCAATGGTATTATATAAATTTTCAGTGACACAATTTAAAGTGGTTCCACTTACTTTTCTCTCTCCTCCTTTCCCTCTTTTTCATATAATTTTTAATATTTTATTACTTCATCCAATATTCAAAGGGATAGAGTACTAGAAGATGTACGTGGCACCAAGTCACCAGTATTACCTTATTTCCCAATTTTCTCACATTTTGCAATTTCCCAATTGTCCCAGTAGCTAAAATCAAGTGCTACGTACGTAGTTCATCATAAATTAAAAGTTTGATGTTTCGTATCAACATATCCAATTTAATCTAGAAAAAA